AATTATTAATGAACTCAAAGAAAAAGATCAGTCACTATACGAAAGAATTGAAAAAGATGAATTTTGCTGTGAAAAATTTGAAAACGAGTCCGAACAATACAGTCGCAGAAATATTGTTCGAATCTTTGGCATTACGGACGATGACAACAGGCAGACCTCAGAAACAGTTTATCAAAAATTAATAGACACAATAAAAAGCAAATCAGATCTTGTTCTGCAGAAAGCAGATATTTACATCAGCCACATACTTGGAAAATACAAAGTCGGCAAGCATAGGCCAATTATAGTTAAATTTGTAAGACGCCAAACAAAAGTCGAACTTTTCAACAGGTCAAAACAACTGAAAGAACATAAGATTTATGTCAACGAAGATTTGACGAAAATGAACGCGGACATGTTGGCATCCTGTCGTGTAAAAGACAAGTCAAATGTTGAAAAAGCGTGGTCTTTTGAAGGAAACATTGGCGTGAAATATGCATCACAGGAATTCGCTACGCAATTGCAAGCAATTAAACTACTGCTATTGGTTAAATATTCCGTGACTGGAAAAGGATGAAACACATGCTCAGGATTTAAGCAAAAGCCAAGGATATCCAACTACATCTAAACAGCCATATAGTTCTATGCCCCAAACAATAATCCAGACCCCTACGTAGTATTCCAAACCAAGACTGTCTTATGCAGCCGCGGCCAAATGACCTATCACTTATTTTCAAAAAGAAAAAAAATATTGTTTTCACAAACAAGTGAATCGTTACGTGATTAAAGTTAATTCCCTTTGACCGATTTCTTCATCCTGTATGAAGAATGTGCTATATAAACAATAAACTAAAATGATGACAACGACGACGAAAATTGTAAAAAAAAATAATAATAGAAAAATAACAGAAAAAGCGTCACTTTATGTGAGTGATATCCCATATACAGCACATGTGCAAATTTTTAGTTTGTGGCGTACGTGCCAATTTTCCCGGGAGTATGACTTAAGATTATTTTTCGTTTAAGTTTGCCAGTATTTATTATTTGGTTCACAATGTTTAAAAAAGGACATCATACTGTTACAAAGAAAGATCTAGATAAAAGATCATTTTCAGTAACATAATATTTTAACCCGAATCAATTAAAGCGTGCAAATTAAAAAAAAACTAGCCATATCTCGAGTTATGGGGTTTTACTATAAATATATGGGGATGTGGCTCAGTGGTAGAGCGTTCGCTTTGCATGTGAAAGGCCCCGGGTTCGATCCCCGGCATCTCCATATTTTTTTAAAACGTTATATTTTATGCAATAAGTCGCGTTCAATTTACGTTTATAATTTAGTTTCACTGATAAATAGTAGACATATTATCATATAGCAATGTAGAAACGGAATTACTCTATCTTTAATTGCAATTTAATTGAATTCATTTTGTGACCACTGGATGTAGATGCATTTAATTGTGAAAATATGCATCGGTTTTTTTGCTCAATATACTGCAGTGTTTGCAGTCCATAGAACACATTATCGCACTCTTAAACGGGAAAAATACAAAACTATGAATGGCAAAAATATGAATGGCGATTTGATGTGATTTTCTTTTTTTTCATTTTTGGACTCGGAAAATGAAAACTGATCACGTGGTACAAAAACTGGAAGTTATTTGGTTACATTTTATAAGGTGTTTAATTAACAGTTGTTAACTAGCTGTTGTGGTGTCAAAATGAAGAAAGTGCTAAATTGTCGTTATGTACGTGCCCCAAAATGACGGGACTAGAAATAATTTTCTGGGGTTTGTTTGCCATTCAATAAGGAGTGGACCAAGAACTTGTGTGCAAAATTCAGAATATCCGCTTACATCATTTTTCATAAACAATCATCTTAATTGAGAGTAAATTGACCAAAAAATGAAACGCGCAACTCAAAGTTGGATAAGATAGGACCATCGATCTTTCCAAGCTATTTGGAAAATTTCCTGCATGAAATAACCGAGTCCCTAGCTATTTTATAAGCTTGCATACTTTCCTACAATCTTTAGCATGATTTAAACCACGTTTTGTGAATAAAGACATCTACCATATACTCACTCGACCAAAGAACAGGATTCAAAAACAAAAACGCTAATTCAGAATAAATATATAAAATTTGTTTATTTCAATATGGGTTATTTTCGAGATAGTCTTTATTAAGTTTATATTGTTCTATAATGTCCATGTACTGGAAATTTTCTGGGTTCTTGTGAAATGTTCGCACTAATGTGTACCTCTCTCCTGCCTCCTTCCCATAGTATAACGTCATCTGTTTCACAAGATTCAGCGCCTCGGACTTTTTCTGAAAAAGCAAAAAATCAATGAAAACCATGAATGGACTCATTAGTGAGGTTCTACTGTATATTGCATAGTTACAAAAAATTGTTGTGTCACACTACAATGTACCTGGAACCTAATATCTAAAATTACCATTTCATGTCACATATAAAACACAAAAGTAACACTATTTCATATGTTTCTAAAACAACACGGAAAATATATTTTGGTTACTTCCTAGCCTAACTGGTGGAGGTAGAACTCAGGTGCCTCTATGTGCATTATTTCTAGTGCAAAATTTCGCAAACTGGGTTAGATACTTTTGCTAAAATGGCTAGGAAAAGGGGTGAAGGATTATATGAATGCCAGAGCCAGTAACATGATATCATGATTAGCCGTCCGGTTAGCTCAATAGGTAGAGCACTGGACTGTGAATCGGCCAACCCGAGTTTGATTCCCAAATTGTGCAGGTCACTTTCATTGTGATTGATCATTAAATCCTTTCTACTGTCATTCGCACTGTACCTGCTCTGGCATGTACAGAAGTTTCAGTTCCTTGCGAAAGTGAAGGCAACTAGTACTGGTAAACTGCATGACAGCTTGCCCAGGAACGGTGCGGTGCCTGAACTGTGCTCTGGTAAATTCAATGTGGCTTACTGCCATGATCCTGAGTGAAAACTACCAATACCACCACCACCATGATATCATTATTCTTTGAGAAGTCTAAACAATATACAAAGTAAAAATATACTTACAATAATACTATCATCATATTCTCCTGCCATCAAAACTATTCCTGAAATTAAAGAATCAAAACTAAACTTTACATTTATAACATTTTGCTAGTTCAATAAAAGCAGGCCTCCACATTAGCGGTGGTCCATTGGTCCGAGACCACCTGATTTTGGCAAGGACCACCTAATTGTACAGGCAACTGGTCCATTAGACCACTTGAATTTTCCAAATGGTGCAGGGCTCATCTGGGAGAATGGTTATTTGGTCGTGTTCTATAATTGTTGTTTAAAACCATTTCTCCGATGTACAGGTATATGTTCATTCATCTCATTAGTTCAAAAAGATCTTAGGACATCCATAACTTTTAATTAATTCGCTAACAGTGTAGTTAAAAAAGTAGAAAATTATTTTAATAATTAAAGTATAAAATTCATTCAAATGCCTCTAGTACTGCATTGAATTTATAACATTGTATCTCTAAGGGATATCAGATCAACACATGAATAATGGTGCAAACAAAGGCAAAGGAAAAATTAAATATCTAGTAATCTTTGGCTACTTTTTTAAACGATCAGAGATCCATTTTTTTCTTATTTAAACTACTTTAAAAGGTTATAAATACTTTGTCAAAAAATAATAAATTTCAAGAAACAAGCATTTATAATAAATCTGTGAGGAAGATAAGCTCAATTATAATGTAGGAATTGTTCTGTTTATCAATAATATTTCATTGTTTCAAAGACAAGAATATAATAACTTAATAGTTTAATTAAAAATGTTAATCTATAAAAAGCAATTATTATTCTTATAAGATGTACCAGGAAACAGCAATGAGTATTTGAATAACAGTAAGGAAATAAGTCATTCACAAATGGTTTCACTATTCCCTAACTTGAGTTGCGGAAGAAGTCACTTAACCGAAGTATGAGTACTGTCATGTATTTTTTTTAATGAGATAGTAAATACTAAATAGGATTACAATGACCTGGGACATAATATATCGTATGTCCCAGCAATGACTTACTATCTGATTAGATTGAAATAGAAAAAAATATATTTTTTCTTCAGTTGTTATAAATCTAATAATAAATATGTCTCTGTCACCAATTTTAAGTGTAGTTCTTCTAAATCTGAAGTTTTCTTAAAAACAAATGAGTAAAAAAAAGATGGACCACCTGTGTTCAGAAAGGACCACCTGAAGTTGGATCCAGTGGTCCGGCATACCACCTGCTGTCGAGACCTGAAAAGGCATTATTACCCCTCACTTTTTTTCGTAATGCTAATTTCCCATAGGCCTCTTGGAGTTATTTTTACTGTTAATGCAAGTGTACCACATGACTAAGAATTTTGTACTGTTACATAGTTAACAGTATTTTTTAACAGTATAAAATCTGGTCACGTGGTCTATTTTCTAAATAAAATGAAATAAAATGGCCGCCATTTTTTTCTCGATTCATTTTTATTTTCAACGTTAAACCCCGATAGGACATCAATTTCTTGTCTGGAGTAACTATGACACTCATAAAATTTAGTTGTTTGCACCCTGGTGTGCTTTTCGCGTATAAAATATCTTTTTGTTGTATAGTCAAAAGTTTGCAATGTAAATAATTATGTGTCAAACTGGAACATGCAGACGATTTAAGCATATTTAACAATTTTAATCAGTGAAACGTTACTGATATGGTGGACAGACATAGGATATCATCGTTATTTTGTCAAAAACCATGCTAAGAATATTCTGGAAACAGAAGGAACAGATTTCACAGATCATAACCGTGTAAATGGGTTAGTGTTTTGTTTTCTAAATAAAACCTAGCTTATTGTATGTTTATGATTTGTAGATATCATCACTTGCTTAAAGAATAAAAGAAAAAGAAAACTTCTCAAGTAGGCCTAAAGTACACTTAAAACTTAAAATGTAAGGAAAGTTTAGTTATTGTTACTCTTGGTTTATTTTTGTTACAGTTAGATTTAGTTGACAATTTCAGATCATCACAGTATTTTTGTTCGGGGTAATAAAATAAATAACACATGGGTGTGTGGGTAACGGTAAAAATATCATCCCTCGTAAAAATACTGTTACCCTCGGCTACGCCTTGTGTAACAGTATTTTCCTCGGGATGATATTTTTACTGTTACCCACAAACCCATGTGTTTTTTATATATTGTCTGATACCCATGGTTGATTAAAATGTAAATGTTAATGGTTTCGGCCATGGGTATCTGATGATGATCAAAATGGTGCTCTGACTAAACTGTACCCATAACCTGCTGGAACTGAAAGTGATTACCTTTTGCCACCAGTAAAGAGCCAGGCAAGCCTGCACGGATCAGGCTCAATACCGTTGGCTTACCAACTTGAAATTTTCATTGAATTCCCTTAAATTGATAATAGGCAGTTCCAAAAATGGAAACTGGACATGTCCATTTATGAAATTCAGCAGGTTGAGATTTAATCCACGTTGCACCCTCAACATTAGTTTTTATTTTTCTATTCTATTCATTTGTTCAATATATTCTTACTTAACAAAACTCAGTCAACTACCTTTTTTACAATGTTTTTAAAGTCACTTTAAAACTGGAAAAGTCCTAAGACAACTGTTTAAGTTAAGTGGGAAAGGAAGGCCTAAAAAGCCCCTTGTTAATTGTTTCAGACTTTGAAAAGGACCATAAAAAACACTACTGCATCATGCTTACAAGAAAAAGTTCTATGGTCTAAGAGAAATTCTAATGAAATGAGGTCAATTCGAGTCATATAACATTGTATGCATCTGTTCTTTTATCAATCTTAACACTCAGTCAGAGTCCTCCCATTTTGTACGGATTATAGATTTAACATATCTGTATTCATTTTAGTATCTGATACTGATTATAATGACAGCTTATTTGAAGAGTTCTTAAGTCTGCTTCTTAGAACTAAATTAAAATGATGACCTATGACCTATCAGCGAACAGTATTGTGGCCTGAGTTAGGACACACATTAACCTAGCCCAACAGAAGTATAACCTTATGTGCTTTTCACAGATTTTTTTACAGCATATTGGCAAATTGCAACTTGTTCTGAGGGTAAAAGAAGGCTTGAACCTGCTTTCCGGACTTAAAAGGCAGACACCAATACCACTTGGCTACCTCTACCTTTTAAAGATAACATTCTCACACTAGTAAAGCCATGTACATACCTTTATCATCCTTGAGTTCAGGAAAATGGGCCACTGTCAGACAAGGGGGAGCACTCTCTTTGATAAGCTGGAAATAATTATGAAAAATAATAAGTATTAAAATTTATAGGATAAAAAATATGAATCATCTTGACAAACTGAATCAAAGTAGCTAAAATAAGTCTCAACAAAAGAAAAATTGTAAATAATTAAAAAAATATAAAAAAAATTGGCCACATTTTTTGAAAAATGATGACTTTTTTTCTGGCAACAGGGAACAATTCCCATACACCATACTGACTAAAGATTATGAAAAAACAACAACAACTGAAATGCAGACTGTTGCAGATGAAAAATACCTGATACATGGCTAATGGAGTGAAGTACACATCTTTTCCACTAAACTGACAGAGGTAAAACTCATAGCCATCTCCTTTAGGTAATGTGAATATAAACTGAAAAATAAATTTCCACATTATTATGTCAACTCATTAATATACAAATACTAAAGGCCCAGTTTGCACAAATCCTATAAGGTACATGTACATTGCATGTCCAATTTGTTTTATCAAAGTTTTGTCTAAATGTATATTTTTTCGTGACTCTATTTTCTCCTCCAGGGCTATATGAAATGATTATGTGTAAAAGTTGTGAGTTCCTTGTGGAGAAATAAAGTTATACATGTAAAATGTAGAGAAGTAAAGATTACTGGTTGATAAATGCTCTCCCTTGATTAGACGGTTACTGTTTAAAAATAACAGTTGACCAAACTAAACAACACAATAAATATCAAAACCTGGGAGCATATTCACAAAGAAATAAGCAGACTTAAATTTTGAAGATCAATACCATAATTTTGATAAAGAGCAATTATCTTATAACTTTAGATATTAAAGACAAACACAAGTATGTAATCTCTTGTAGCACATATTTCACCCTCTCTCTGCTGGAACCAAAAATGATTTGTCTTTGCCATCTGTATAGTGCCTGGCCAGTGTGGACATCTGTTCAGTCTGACCAGGCTCTATACTGATGGGTGACTAGCTTTAATTTTTCCTGTTGATATCCCCAAAACTGATAATGGACAGTTCCAAACATGGAAGATGCACAAGTGCCATTTTTGAAATTCAGCAGGTGAAGCATTGATGCTGCAATATATGCTTGCTATATTTAATATTTAATAAGTTTTTCTATAGACAAGAGATATCAGTAGGACAGTGTGCTTGACTATTCTCAGTGCTTATATTAAAACAAGAGCCTGGATAATGTAGAATTTTGTAAGTTCATAAATCGTCATAATACTGTCCAAATGTAAGAGTTATGGACCTTAGAAAGTGACCTCCTATTATGCTCTCAAATAAGTGTGTGAAGTGTCAACCCATTTCTTCAGTAGTTTTGAAAATACATGTACCAACTTGCATGCAAAAACTTAAAGAAAGTGTGACAGCAACACTGACACCTGAGTAAGTACAATAGATCTCCTTATTAGGACAAAACTCTATATTTGAAAAAGGTCCATGAAAACTTCAGGTCCATGATCTTTAAACTTGTAAGTTGTACTTCTTAAATTCTGGAGCTTTATCATGTATGAAAAAGGCCTGATTATGGTCTCAATGGCATAATTATAAACATATTTTTTGGTTTTTACTTACATGAGGGTTTAATGTTGATTTGGTTATAAGCTCATCATAGTGTTCTGCCTGAAAATAAAAAGTTTTGATGTAAATACCATGCACTAAATCCCTTGAAGATGCATTACATTACCATTCTATCAATCATGTTTAAAACCAAGATATCATCCCATTCTACTAGAATTTCTTCTGAAAGCTTGAAGGTTTTACTCTGGTGCTCTGATAAATCTAAAGAAAGGAGAAACTGTAATTTTCATCCAAATGCACATATGGAAACCTGTGGTCTTTTATGACAAATACAGTTCGGAGACAAACATATGACCTCAACCCTATCATAAATGGCAGCCAGTGAGCAAGGCAGACATGCAATAGAACAACCTGTAAATTCTTTCTTAATATGCAATACAGCACAGAAACACTAATATACTTGAAACAGGGGCATCCATTGCCTAGTGGTTAATGTTGCAGAAACTGGATCACTTACCCCTTAGTTACTAGTTTGGGTCTGAAGCAAAATAAGAATTCTTTTATGGGAGGAAGCTATCTGACTACATGGGTTCAGATCCCTACCAAGCGCAAGCCAGTGTTTCCTTGAGCAACAAACTTTACTCTCATTGCTTAGTACTGGTTGGTTCCAGGAACAAATACAAGAGAGTTTCTATGACCTTACAGCTTCCTTCCTACATAATCAAACTAAACTTATTCTGTATTTACTAACTACTTGTATAAAGGTCCCTGCTCCTGTTTCAAAAAATGCACAGAAAATTATCCTTTATCAGAGGTCATCCCCTACCAGTAAAGCAAAACAGTGACCAACCATACCAACCAACTTTCACAGTATAACCCGATAAAAGTTAGGAAAAATATTTATTTTTTAAAGACTTACTGGAAATACTGCAAATATACAGTCCTTTGCAAGATGATATTCCTGCCACAACTGAAACATAAAAACAATGTATGTCATTAAACTCCACATAACAATATCTTATCACATTAAAATACACACACCACACATCTCTCCTGACCTTGACCTTTGACCTCTAAGTGGGTCTTGCCTGTAGAGCTCATTAAGGCAGATCCACCTGTGAAGTGGAGGCTGTGTGGCAGGGAAGACTTCTAAGTTATGGTAAAAGTTTAAATGCTGTAACAAAGAATAGATAAAGGGATAGACAAAAAACAATATACGCTACCTATCTATTGATCCTGTAGACAGATAGACAGGCAAAAATACAGGAAGACAGGATAAACATTATGCTCTCTGATTGATCTGTGATAGGGAATAAAATATCAAATATCAAAATTATATATATATATTTACCTGAGTAACTGCTTTAGCATCTAGATCTTTGACTAATTCTAGCTTCATTATTTCATCCAAACTCTGTAAAATATAAACAAACAAAAATATTAGGGATGGCAACGAATACCAAAATCAATACTCGAGTACTCGGTCATTTTTCCGATCGAGTACTCGGTTACTCGGATAATTGCCAGTGATCTTCAAAGTTTATCACACAATATCAACACCGTCCGCATGCTACTTTCGTTTTCTATTTAAATTCATAGAATTCTGTAGATAGTAAATAGGACTGCACGGGAGACAAATTAATTATAATTAAATCAACAACATAATATTTTACAACGTTTTGATTTATGCAATATCAAGTTTGAAACATGTATAACAGTTCATATATCTTTTTTCTTCTTGAAATAATATAGACTGATCGGCGGCAACAAAAGTTTTACCTGGTCTAAATACAAGTTACCTTTATTCGTACATTCATGATAGCAATCGGCCCTTTGTTGTTTTCAAAACAGTTACTTCGGCTACACAATTAAAGGTAATTAAATATCATAAGAGGCTGGATGACATAAGCGACACAGGTGCGCGTGTCAAACTGTTGATCGCCTTGTTAAATTTATGATACCATTTTCGCACCTCTGCAAGGATGTTTTGATTGCATTTAACGTGTATTTATGAAGATACATGCTAATCTCCGAATTTCTGAACTAATTGGATATACCAATCTTTCTAAATCGCAAAAAAATAGAAAATATATATTTTTCCGAGTAATCGAATATCAGTTTTGTTAACCGATATTCGGACGTTCGATCGAGTACTCGGTTAACCGGTTACTCGTTGCCATCCCTAAAAAATATATATCGTAAAAAAGCTTTATTATTTGCTATCACTAGCCCTTACCCTGCGTAAGCCCAAAGTGATTAGCATACAATGCCAGTATAGAGCTAGACCAGCCTGCACAAGTGTGCCTTCTGACCACAGTCATTACTATTGGCTGATCAAATTTTCATCCTGACATCCCCAAATTTGAAAATGGACAGTCCCAAAACTGGAAGTTGCAAAATTATATAAAGAAATTCAGCCTACAAAACATAGATCTTTTTATTCTTGTTTATAGTGATATTAAATAACAAATTTAAAATCTTGCCTTTGGTGGCCATGTCTTCGGACCACTAAATCCAGGTATGTCTTTTCTAGGGGCAGGTTCTGTCCTCTGGGATGGCGGTTTCTCGGGTGTGACTTGTTTCTTAGGTTTTAGCTTCTCTCTCATCTCCTGTAACCTAGACTCATATTCCTCAGGATTTTCTCTACAAGAAATGAAAATTTCTTAACAATGTTTCTTGTTTGAGAAAAACAAATCAACAAAGTCAATGATTAATCAACATAGAAACAGAAAAAATAGCTTAATCGGGGAAATCCGGATCACATTGAAGGCCAAACAAATACAGTGGCAATCAATAATAATTCATTGCAAGAAATAATTCAAGTAAATCTAAATATGAGTCAGATTCATGGATTTCTTAGTAACTATATTTACTTAGTGACAAAGTTTAAAGAAAATGGTCTATATCTTAGATCTGTTGTACATTGATAGTATTTAGTATAATAAGTGACAACAAACTGCAAAAAAAATGTTGTAGGATACATGGTCCCAAGTAACATATAACTATATAGCAGATAATAAAGTGTTCTAGAACAAAATTGAGAGGTATTCCTATGGTATACAGACATTATTCGCCCCCCCCCACCCCCAGGACATTTGTCCCCACTCTAAAACAGCACCATTGGACAATACTAAGAATAATGTATTCATTTATGCATAATCAACATACCTTCAAAGACAAAATAAACATGGTTAAAGGAAGGTAATATGTAAACGTATCAAAGGTTACATATTTTATGAAGGGGGGGGGGATATCCTGGTTGATGAGTGGGGTTGGCAAATGTCATAATGAACATATTATTTTTATATAAGAAGTATCAATTTTTTAATAGATAAACTTACTCTTGCATGTGTTTTAACTTTTCTTTGTATCTATTGAAGAAAGGATTACTACTGATATCATCTGGTTTACTTGATGAAAATTGCCTACAATAGAGTTTACATTGTTTAAGAAATATAATTTTCAAAAGTAAAGCATATTTTTAACTATATACAAAGACGTAGTAATGCACCAGTTCATTGTTACCCTGCCAATCTCTACAGGTGCAGTGCAGGGATAAGTGGGGAGTAAAGAGTCCAGTATTTACCTTTTGTCCTTCCTGTACTGTGGGGTCAAAGTGGTGTTTTTGCTTTAGCACTGAAATAGCTGGTCGTGTGTCTATTTTGCATAGCAACGCCTTTAAGCAATATGTTCAGCCTTGCAAAGCAAGGCTATTTTAGCAGGAATATGATCTGGCTGTCCCCACAAGGCAGGGCCTTTATTAAGGGACTGGCAATTCAAAGTCAAAGTCCCCACTGTTCTCCAAGCATTTGTTTTGGTACTGAATTCCCTTAAATCCTATAAGATTGATCCAAATTTGAAGCATACAAAGGTTATCTTGAATCAAACAGTTGAGTATTTACACGGTAAGTGAGTGTTTCAGCTTTATGTCAGACCATCAGCACTATAATGCTTAGCCTGCTTACGGTAACATTTACATTTGTACATATACATCCAGTTCAAACCAAGGGTTAAAAATAATCAATAAGTTATAAAGGCAGAATAATATGCTTAGTTAACAAAATATAAATGGTTCATCATTCAAATAATATATCATTGATGAAATTTTATTAAGTCCTTCTCCAATAAACTTAAAATTTTTAAATCCTCAAAATCTAAAAATTTACTAAATATTGTTTAGTTTTCATTTGATACCGGCTATAAGATGTTAGTTTTTGTAACCTTAACAGTTACTTACATTTTGTACAGGTAATACCTTAAAACAAAGTGTATCCTTACAAAATTTGGCAAGAAAGTATAACTTTGCATTTTCTTTTGTCATTTTATGCAGCAGCAAAAATCAGAGGCCCTTTATTACATGTAGAATGATAAAAATATTTTGATACCTTGACCATCTTTGACCACATTTTCCATTACATGTTATGGCAGTCGTCGCTGGATATCTATGATGTAAAATTTGTCTACTGAACTGTGATGGTATTCGTTTCCAACATGACAAACATACTCGTAACAAATCAGCTTGTGGCATCATACTTGTGTCGTATCGGTAATTCATGCATATATTCTTTCTAAAAGCTGAAACAATCAACAAAAGTTCAAAATAGACAGTCATAAAATTTATATTCACATAAATATTTTATACATTATTTGCCACAATACAAATTCGCCACAGTATGATTGTAACAATACTTTTGTAAGTAAGTGTGTCTGGTACCAACAATACATGCTGTGCAACATTCCTTTAAGGTTTCATGACTCTTGATCAAATACTTTTTCAGTTACATGCGACACAAGTTGAAAATTGAAAATTTTTAATAATTCAAGGGCAATAACTAAAAATACTCAATATATATCCACACAAAAATACCCAGGTGCACAACTACACATGCTGAGCAACATTCTTGTAAGGTTTCATGACTCTAGGTCAAATACTTTTTTAGTTACGTGTGATACAAGTTGAAAATTGGAAATTTGTACTAAGTCAAGGGGCAATAACTCTAAAAATACTATAAGTATCCACACGAAAATACCCAGGTGCACAACTACACATGCTGAGCAACATTCTTGTAAGGTTTCATAACTCTAGGTCAAACACATTTTGAGTTATGTGCGACACAAGTTGAAAATTGCAATTTTTTTTCTAATTCAAGGGCAATAACTCACTAAAAATATCCACACGAAAGTACCCAGGTGCACAACTACACATGCTGAGCAACATTCCTGTAAGGTTTCATGAATATAGGTCAATTACTTTTTGAGCTACCTGCGGCACAAGAAGAGAACATACGGACTGAAGGACGGATGAACTGACAAGGGTAAATCTAAATGCCCTCCCCCCCCTTTAGTGGGGGCAGAAAAATTAATTGTATGGAAAAAATGTTTGCATACAAATATATTGGAATTGTCGCTATTTTGTGCATTATTTTTATCATCAGAGTGTCGAGATGATTACTTACTAGTAACTTAGCAATGTTTTGATATATTAGAAAAAAGAATTTTTTTGGGTATAAATAATGACTATGTATACATAGATTTTGGCGTATGTCTGTGATATAAATTGCAGTGCCAGTGTCTTTTAAGATATCAGTGATAATTAGAATTTTAGAAACATTTTTGAACAACTGTCCCGCAAATTAGTCTAGAAATTATAGGATGTCTGCTTTGTGGACAGGCAAAGTGGAGGGACTTTTAAAAAGGACTTTTTCATTGTTATTGAGCCGTTGTTTTTTTAACAGGGTCATTTAAGCACATCAAGACCCAGATTGAAACATCCTAAAAGTTATGAAATGGGTGGGGTTCAGTCGCGGAAACACATTACAAAATCAATTAACTTTGCGATTATCAAACCGTTTTGTAAAATTTACTTGTAACGACAAAATTTTGTGTCAAAATCATAACAATAATTGCTAATCAATGTAAAAAACGTGTTTCATACGTAAAGATAGTAATGAAAACACTTATTTCATGCCGAGAAGGTCGCATTTACTTTCGGAAAGTCGTAAAAATCAAATTTTTTAAGATCATCATTTTACCGATGTAAGATTACAAATAGATATTTATCTGAATAAGTTTTTAAATATTGATCGAAGATTATACTGTAAAAATCTTTTTCGAAGGCAATTCAAATTTTGCGACAAACATAAGTTTGGTTTGCGACTGTAAACAATCCAAAATCAATAATTGGACATCTGTTGCTTTCTGTGTAAGAATTATTTATTTATTAACGTCACTATTCATTTCTTATTGTACATGAAAGTAAAACAAATCATTTAAGATTTATACATGTATATTTTTATTGTAAGCACGAACATTTAGAGAAAATGGTTGAAGTTGAAGTCTGAAAATACTGGAAGAAGGTAACAAGAAAGATTTGCTCCATGGCATTTCAGCCTAAAATTCGTTTTGGACCTTTAACCTTACGATAGACACTCATTGCAATTTCCACTGAGTGCTAGCCAATATGATTTTAGAGCACTGTCTGTACAGCAGTCAATGAGAACCTAAATGCACATTGTATGTGCAGTAATCTGAGATAATATGAAAGGGAGGTAGCCCTTAAACTGCTGTTGGTGCCAAGTAATGCCCTGCCTTTCAAGCCGTCAATGTCTGTACTAGGGGCTCACACACCTTAGCACACTTTTCTTTTGGCCTCTGCCTACTTTGTAGGGCCACTTTACTTTAGTAAAGACATCGGCAACAGGTCTGTAGTGGTAGACAAAGTAGATGTGTACCGAAGTACTGGGGGCAGCACGAATACCCAAATATACCAAAATATACCCAAATATTGTCCAATTATACTAAAAATAAATGTTTTATAATAAAAAAGTGCTGTTTTAATCATGAATACAATATACTGTACACTTTCACTAAGATATAATCAAACATACGAAATTTATTTCATTTTGTTTGTGTACAATGTACTTGTCTTATTATATTGAAAATGTGTCTTGATTGTTGAACATTTTTTTAAAAATTGTCATTTATTTTAACTTCTTTAATTCATGTATTATTATTATGTAAGTTAGTGTGATAATTACCCCATTGGAAATAAGCTTTTAGCTAAATGGGCAATCCTAGGGTGACATAGAACATACTCATTAATTAATCTGATAATTATTTTTGTTGCATTTATGTGTGTGTTTTTATATACATATGCAAGTTGATATATGTGATAACATTGTATGTGTTTATGTCTATTCCCTGAATAAATCTATACAATTCGATACCCAAATATACATTTTCCTATCATTGTGTTTTGAACCAAAATACAGTATATGTACTCCATTAAAGTTTTTTTTTTTTTAATAACATGGACATTTGTATATGATATGAAATTTCAACAAAATTACACATTAAAGATGTAAGTGTAGACAACAAATATCATATCTTGAATTAAAATTGCATGTACATTCATAAAGAATCTATATTGTAGATAAGCAAATGTCACAACTTTATTTTCTTACAAGATCTTAACTGCCCATTTCAACGAAATGAATGAAAGTTATAGCAGGCTAAGTCATATTTTTTACAAATATTTATTTATTTCTCATTATAATCTATATTTTATACAAACAAAAATAAATATTGCTACATTTGGGTGTATTTGGGTATATTTGGGTATGTCGTTCCGCCGAGTACTGGGTAGTTTATAATTGTCTAGCCATCAAGCCGCAAATCTTCTGCGAATGCCCTGTGCCTTCTCTGCTATGTGCATGCACCAAAGGGTAGAAAGAAGAGACATTTATACTTCTAGTTTCATCAGTTTATATTTGCTTCTGATTTTGCATAAAATAATTGGTCAACTGTAAAATCACAACTCAACCACACTCTGGAAATTGGAGAAATATTGTCTTTAAGATTTTCAAAGTTTAAAGCCTTAATGGTAAAGGCCCTGCCCGTGGCATTAGTCAGGTAGTAAAATTCTAGTTAAATGCTAACATTGTGATTTGGACAATTACAAAAAAGTCAAAACGCAGTTCAGTATCACATCCCACACTATCTCTCATCCTTCCCAAGAGAGCTTTTAATAAAAACATCTGGCTGAGAGTCACTGGCTAGACAAAACACATACACAAGTAATAAATTTTGCAGATGATGTTTGGCCATTTTGAATGAAAGGCTGAAGTTTAAATAGAAAAGAAATCATCCTTTAAGACCAATGTAAATCCTGTCTTTAAAAAAATAAGTTGAGATTATTAAAATTACTTGGTCATGTTTTTAATACAATACCAGTGCAGTCTTACTGTTAAGTTAATATAGAATGATCAGATTAACAGTAACTTTCAATAATCGTGTCCCCAAAGGTCAAGGTCACACTACCATTTTGAAGTTCACTTTATCCCAATTAGAGTTTATAGGTACAAACAATCGTGTCCGGACTGTAACTTTGTCATGCATCGAAGGATTTTTAAATAACTTACTAGGTGTATATGTCTACCACATCAAGACAACATGTCACGTCCAAGACCCATGTCCCTACCTTCAATGTCAAGGTGACACTTATAGTTTGAAGGTACTCATTATAGGTACACAATTCATGTCCGGACTATAACTTTGTCTTGCATTGAAGAGTTTTAAAATAACTTGGCACAAATGTCTACCACATAAAGATGGCATGTGTGTAAGACCCATGTTCCTTCCTCCAAGGTCAAGGTCACTCTAATAGTTTGAAGGGTACTTGTGCTTATAAGACACATTAGTTTCCAAACTTCAACATTGTCATGCATTGAATGATTTTAAAATAACTTGCCATAAATGTCTACCACATCAAGACCCAAGGTATTAAATTTGCTAGAAATAGATAAAGAGCACTTCATTTCAAATAACAATATTAAGCAATTAGTTACTTTCATTCTCTTTTCTTTTCATAACACATGCATGTTTCAAATGATTATTAGTTTATTATTAATAAAGTTTGCATTTTTCTTTTCTTTTGTTAGTGCCCAACCATAAGAAGTGTAATAAACAGGGCATGGATAATCAAGTGATGTTTTTTGAAGGGTGCCATGAACTTCTTAGGACATTATTTCGGTGATGGATGGAAAAGCCATTATTATACATCTGTGGTGCTTAATAGTAATCTATAGAACAACATTGTGTGCAGGTAAATCTTTGTTTTACGTGTAAAAGCATTTCAATTTGTGAGGGATAAATTTTTGTGGATTTGGTGGATAATGCAGGTCAGCCATGATAATAAATCCCATGAACAAATTGTGCCCAAGATAATATGAGCCGTGCCATGACAAAACCAACATAATGGGTTTGCGACCAGCATGGATCCAGACCAGCCTGTGCATCCGCGCAGTTTGATCAGGATCCATGCTGTTCGCTATCAGTTTTTCCACTTGTTATTGAGTATGTAAGTGAACAGCATGGATCCTGATCAGACTGTGCGGATGCGCAGGCTGGTCTACATCCATGCTGGTAGCAAACCCATTATGTTGGTTTTGTCATGGCCCGGCTCATATAAAGTATGCCCATGCAATCAGTCAATAGAACCATAAAAGACGTGCAATGTGGTTGGCAGTTGCATACAAACTTCAATATGAGACAAATTGTGTGCTAACCTGTGACTTATTAGACTATCATGTATTTTATAGAAGTTTAAAACGATAAACATAAGAATGAATTGGTAACTATAACTAAATTTCACATTGTTACGACCCCAGGAAAGTGCTTTTTGTTGGCAAATCATGAAATTTTATGCCCTTGAATTTAAATGATTTCACAGTAGTTTTATATTCCCTTCAATTTTTATAAAACAAGGAGAATAATGGAAAAAAAATTTTCATTTAAGGACTTATTTAAGCAGGTAACATGACATCAGTCTACTTAGGCAGTTTGTTTAGTACAAATTCAGGCTATGTAATCATATTTGAATGAAGTTCATTGTAATCATTACTCCTAAAATTTGCACATAGCCAACATTGTTTCTTTAAATATACATAAGATACCTTGATATAAACATCTATGGTAAATTTATCTTATTAGCTGTTTAAGATTATGAATAAGAGAATAATGTGTTTGTACAAATTTAATTTTTTTATGGTAAATTTTGCCAGTTGCTGACTATACAGGTCATTTCTGCGGTTTTCTTTGTTTTGTTTAATAAAAAATGCCTCTGTTATTTAATGCACAAAAATTGTATTATAAAACAGAATAAAAATTCATTACAAAATTTTCAACAGCTATTTTTAATAAATTACAGTGATGATTTTTTCACATATGTCCGAAAGCCTTGATTGGAAATTTACAAACATCATTCTTTCAATTTAGATACTTGCAAAAAAAGATTTTTATCAAGATACATTCTCATTAGTATATATATATAGGTCTATATTGTCACCTTTGTACTGTAACAGGTTAACTCCTTATATAATTTACTAGGAGATAAACCGTTACTGCACTAAGGTGAAAATATATATTTTAATATCATGTTAATGCTGTTTATATAATCATGCTTATTTTATAGTATGTGATACTAAACCATGTTTAAATGGAGTGTGTACAGAACTTGGAAGTGGCGGATATTACTGCTCCTGCATTCCAGGTATGTTTTATACATATTTATAATGAAGCACAACATTTGTAACCTGAATACCCTTTGTCACAAGTGGACTGTTCCAATTAAAACCTGGACAAATTCATTATAAAAATTCAGCAGGTTACGGGTTAATTAGAATGAAATACGTACATGTCTGAAGAATTACATAATTTACTTTCATGCAGTTTTCATTACACTTTAATAAATTTAATGCATAAATGCCTTAAGAAAATTTGAAAAATGACATTTTATGCACTTTTAAAAATATTTGCCATGGGAAACCTCCTAAAAAAGTCTTAACAAAATTGACATGGCAAATTTTACTATGGTCTTGCCATGGCAAAATTAAAAAATGAATAATTTTCAATTGAAAACATACAATTGCATCTGAAGTATGTGTTCAAATAAATTCAATACCTTAAATGCACTTCTAAAAAAGATTTGCCATGGTAAAATTACCAATATATTTGCCATGGCAAATTATGATTGCCATAGAAAAGCACTTTGCCATGGTAAAGTAGGGGAAAAATTTTTTTTTTAAATGTCGACATCCAATTGGCAAATGAAAACTTTGCATGCATTTAAAAATTCAAACATATTTACTTTGAACCCATTTTAAAAATAAAAGAATTTAAGCAGTTTTATTTTTAATTTCCTTACAGACTGATCTTGAATAAAAAGTGTATCATGAAAGTTGTTTATTTTCTTTATTGTTAGGTTACATTTATTTGAACATTTGTGTTATCAATAATGTCCCACTAGTTGACATAAAAATTAAAATTTCAAGATTACCTAAGTGGATTTGAGAACAATAGATAACAATAGAATTTTCTTTGATGCAAGTCATTCTGGTTTTCTCATATGGGGTTAGTAAATTGTATTACATGACTAAAAGAACAATGGGGAGAACAATAGTGTTTGCCACTTAACCTGCTGAAATTATGTAAATTGATTTGCCTTGTCTTGAATTTGGAATAGACAGTCCAAAGTTTACAGGACTACGATGACAAATTACAAACAAACATTAAGCTACCTTTACAATACAGAGCCGGGTCAGATCAAAAAGTGAGATGTTCCAGATGGCCTTGCTCTAGTGCTACTGATGACAAAGGTTGAATATCATTTTCATTTCAAAGAAGTTAAAGGAGAATTCCATTTTATTTTTACGTTACAACATCAAATTTGAAATTTGAACTTCTTACATGCATGTACTGGTTGACCAAGTGAAGCACTTGTAAGTAAATATGGAAAAATTCTACAAAGGACAATAAAGAAATGTACTTGATTTAAATTTAAATTGAATATAGATTTTTTTCGCAATTTTTAGCCCAATTTGAGTGAAAAGTGTTTCATTTTTTTTGGGTCATTTATTGTTATAAAAATGATTTTTCAAGAACAAGGGGCGAGGGAATGATCTGAAAATTTGCACACAAGTTATTGGTCAGACTTTCATCAAATGGTATATTAATCTCTGAAAAATATATTTAGTCCCTTCATGTAAAAAAAGTCAGTGGATCAAGTCCCTTTGAGGGTTAAGATGTCTTTGTCATCCATGTTTATTATTTCTATGTTAAACACGGAGGAGATTTAACCATGTCATTTTTATGGGCATCTGTGTTTAACTTTAACTTTGATTTTATAGATAAATAAATCTTTGTTCATTCTCATAACATTTGTAACATTTGTAAAACATTTACAGGGTACGGAGGAAGTCAGTGTATGTGGCCAGACATTTACAGAGTATGTGAATCCCAGCCTTGTTTGAATGGTGGAACTTGTATGGTAGAGTAATGTTTTACTTGTTTTATCAATTTAATTTGTTTCCTTACATATCACTTGAATGGGCTTTTATAGTGATTAGATAGTTAGTATTTCTGACTTTTTTTCCTTTCTAAGACTTATAAAACATGCTGTTATGTCATCTGAAGGGCAGGCAGCTCGATGAGCTTGTCAAGATTTGACATGTAACTTTATATGTTACTTTGGAATGATAATTGTAGGTCACTGTTCAAGACCAATAACTCTAGCATGGATTTTTTACTGAATTATACTCCTTTGTGAAGTTATACAATTCCTGGTTATGGTTTTTATTGTAAGTTCTATTTTCTAAAGCATTGAAGGTATTGACTGCAAACTTTGTCAAGTTAATAGGTGTAGGTTACTATCTCAAGTATTGATTTTCAGTGAGTAACTTCCCTTTGTGAATGTATAAAATTTCTGCAATAGTCAAGCTCTTGTTTGTATTTTCCAAGCATTGAAAGAAGTCAAGAGCACTGATAATTCTTGTTTTCAGATTGTTAAAGGTTCATTTAAGTGCAGATGTAGGGAGGAATTCACAGGAACAAGATGTGAAGTAGAAAAATTGATGTGTGAAACAAATCCCTGTATACAAGGTGTATGTATAAATCTGGCCGCCGGATACAGGTGTATCTGTAACAAAGCCTTTGAAGGTAAATGGGTACTTTAACCATTTTATTTTGAATGATTAATATTAATATTTAATAAGAGATTGTAAATAGGTTTTTGTCTTATTTAGGGCTATTTTTCCTACATCACAACAACATTTTTAATGAGATTTTATTTCAGTTATTTTTAATGCTTCCTTGTAGTGTAGAGAAAATCCCCCAAGTTGCACCTCTTTGTATTATAGTACCCTAAATTCAAGACAATGATATAACAAACGTAGATATATCAAGCTAAAATCTGAAACTTACTGAGTTATAAAAGCAGTTATGCTAGTCTATGCTTTCAGTGTAGATCCTATATATTTATATGCCCAGTTTCTGTATTTTGAGTGAAGAAAACCTGAAAATAACAATAAACCCTTTTAAAATCAGTCAGGCAGAACAGTTACACAAATTCAGTAATGTTAGGATTAAATTATGAAGTGTATATATATCATTAACTTTACAAATTATAATTACAGGTAAATTATGTGACATCAACATTGATGATTGTAAAGATAACCCCTGTGAGTATGGGGGCCAGTGTTATGATGGACTAAATAAATACCTCTGTGACTGTCCGGCGGGTAGAGCTGGGAAACATTGCACCAGGATCCAGACCTGCCCTGATGGTATATTATTTAAAACATATTTATATGCTTGATTGTGAATTAAGATCTTAAAAATTATATGTTTGCTTCAGTCTATTTCCTGGACTAACCAGTAGTGGCGTCATATTATGAAAGAGCATCTTCATATCATAAGTAAAAATTTGTTGAGAGATGGTCATTTTAAACAAAAGGCCATCACACCTCTGTTGTTATTTCGCTTAATTGTTTTTTTAATGAAACAATTGTAGTGAAATCTTCATATTTAAAGATGGTTTGCATTTTTTTTATGGTTATATGAGTTTCAGAATCAAAAGTCTATTACATGGATAATAGTCTAATACATGTTTCTAGAAAAATTATTACAGGAATGCCCTGATTGTTACAGTTTGTTAATGCCATGATCTATCTGTATATCATCATGTTAGTGCAGTAACGGATTATATCCTATGAAATTATGCAAGGAGTTAACCTGTTACTGCACTATGGTGACGATATACTGCTGCTTTAGTCATGTAAATAATTATGTATACATTTTAATTATATATATGAATACTTTTCCTTGGCATTTAAGAATCATTTATTTAAGATGTTTATTAAATGTTTTTGTCATTTAAAAGGCGACCCATGTAAGAATTTTGGTGTTTGTATTCCTGCCACTAGAGGCTCTCCAAAACGATGTTCGTGTTTGCCGGGATACACTGGGCCGATATGTGAGATAAATATAAATGATTGTGAAGGACATAGATGCACCAATGGAGGTAAGAGAGGGTTTTAAAATGAATATAATTCGAGTGTCAGATTTTATTTTCATTTATGCCCACTTGTGGTATTCCAATTATTTTTTTTATTACCAGTTATATTACTCAGCAATTAACTTTACTTCAATGACATAAGAACATATGATATATTTATGATACAGCAAAACTGTGGAAATTCATAGAGTCTGACAAAAATGCTCATAACATTTGCAAATGGCCCAAAATTGGATCAGTTACAAAACTTGCTGACATCACAAATGGACTTGCCCATCTTTTTATCTGGACAAAATCATTCATCATTTTTTAGGGAAAATTTCAAAATAAGTAATGACTGAATAGAGAACAGTGCAGGTCATGATCAGACAGCTTAGATATACCAGCTGATCTCTTCACTTCCCTGGAGGCCGAGATTGATTCAGTTGCTGCCAATATGCTAATTGTTTAAAGGCATCTGTACAAAGTTGTAGACTTTGTTGTTAAAGGACATCCATACCTTTCTTTGTAGGTATATGTGTGGATGAAGTTAATTCATATTCTTGTGAATGTGGTCCAAGTTATACAGGAGCTTTCTGTGAGACTAAAATTGATCCGTGTTACTCAGGGCCTTGTAAAAATGGTGCGAAGTGTGTTGTTGATTATACAGTTGTAGATGGTTATAGGTGTTTTTGTGTTTCACCTTTCTCAGGTAATTGTTTTTTTATGAAAAAAAATAAACTTGGGTTACTTTCGTTTAAATTTCGTATTACAGTTAGGTTACTTTTACGTTTTTCAATTAACTCAATTGAGTCTGATTTATCATAGAAGAAGGAAATGAATATATATACATGTATGTATATATAAAACTTTTTAAAAAAATGAACTTTAAATTTTCTCTAAATGGATTATCTGCTGCATGCCCAGATTCTATATTTAGTTTTAGATAGGTAGATATTTAGAAATATTAACATCCAGAATCTTTTTTCCTCAAATATATTCATAATTCAGCTGTTTTGCCATGAAATGGCAGACGATGAACAGTTTTTATGCCCCCACAATGTGGGAGAATATAGCGTTGCACTTGTCCGTCCGTCAGTCCGTCCGTCCGTCCCGAAATCTTGTGAACGCAACTCCTCTTAAACCGGATGGCAGATTTTGCTTAAACTTACAGGGATGAACAACCTTAATGTGTAGATGGTAGTAAAGGAAGGAATTTTCGCTGCGACCAAATTTAAAAGAATTATGGCCCTTTGTTGATTTTTTCACTAGATACTATGTAGAAATTTTGTGAACGCAACTCCTCTGAAACCGGATGGTAGATTTTGCTTAAACTTACAGGGATGAACAACCTTAATGTGTAGATGGTAGTAAAGGAAGGAATTTTTGCTGCGACCAAATTTAACAGAATTATGGCCCTTTGTTGATTTTTTCACTATATACTATGTAGAAATTTTGTGAACGCAACCCCTCTTAAACTGGATGGCAGATTTTGCTTAAACTTACAGGGATGAACAACCTTAAGGTGTAGATGGTAGTAAAGGAAGGAATTTTTGCTGCGACCAAATTTTACAGAATTATGGCCCTTTGTTGATTTTTTCACTATATACTATGTAGAAATTTTGTGAATGCAACTCCTCTTAAACCGGATGGCAGATTTTGCTTAAACTTCCAGGGATGAGCAACCTTAATGTGTAGATGGCAGTAAAGGAAGGAATTTTTGCTGCGACCAAATTTAACAGAATTATGGCCCCTTGTTGATTTTTTCACTATATACTATGTAGAAATTTTGTGAACGCAACTCCTCTTAAACCGAATGGCAGATTTTGCTTAAACTTCCAAGGATGAACAACCTTAATGTGTAGATGGTAGTAAAGGAAGGAATTTTTGCTGCGACCAAATTTAACAGAATTATGGCCCTTTGTTGATTTTTAGTTTTAGACTTGTGGCACATGTAGTCCAAAAAATATTTGACCTATAGTCATAAGATTGACAGAACAGTGGCGTGTGGGGGCATCCGTGTCCTATGGACACATTTCTAGTTTAAAATAATTTTGAAAAAATGTTAAGCTCTAAGCAATTTTTACTGTTAACATTTCAGGTGACCATTGTGAAATCTTTAACAATGTTGCATGTGAAACATCTCCATGTCTAAATGGTGGTGAATGTTCAGCCATGGGCCTTTCTTACCATTGTACATGCCTTTTGAATTATGCCGGTTCTGAGTGCAAAATACCAGTACCCTGTGCCAGCCAGCCATGTCAGAACTTTGGTAAATGTGTTACCGAAGGGGGAGACCAGTTCAAGTGTATTTGTTCTGAGTCCTACACTGGAGCCAGTTGTGAAACACAAATACTGTGCAGCTTACGCACTTGTGAAAATGGCGGGAAATGTGAGATTATAAATGGTGCAGAGACCTGTACTTGCCTGGAGGGATATTTTGGAGAATTTTGTGAAATAAAATCAAGATGCTCTCCAAATCCTTGTCAAAATGATGGTCAGTGTTCTGAAATAGCTAATTTAGGTTTTGAATGTACATGTAGTGAGCAGTTTACAGGAAGAATATGTGAGAATGAGGTCGTTTTACCATGCTCTTCATCACCTTGTGAAAACAGCGGAATATGTTCTGATATTTCGACAAGTGAATTTAGTTGTAAATGTTTAGACAATTATACTGGGAAAAGGTGTGAAACATTGTTAAGTCCTTGTGAAAACAGTCTGTGTATAAATGGAGGAACTTGTATGGTGTCTAAGAATGGATACGAATGTGTTTGCACCTCTAACTACACTGGTAAAAATTGTGAAACTGTTTTGGTTCAGGTCACATGTGATATGTGCATTAATAAAAAAAGATGTATAGCATCAGAAAGTGGTATTAATTGTGAATGTTTAGAAAATTATTCAGGGCAATTTTGTGATATCCCGTCACCATGCATTAATAACCAATGTCAAAATGGAGCAACATGTGAAAATGTGAATGATAAAGAGTATCGATGCATTTGTGACGCAACAACTACTGGTGAATTTTGTGAGTCTGTGTTACCCTGCAGTTCTAACCCATGTGAAAATGGTGGTTTTTGTGAAAATGAGGAGGATTTTTCAAGTTTTAAGTGCATATGTAAATTAGGGTTTACGGGTCAGTATTGTGAGAGTAATCTCCCTTGTGCTTCATCGCCCTGCCTCAATGATGGTAAATGTATGAACGAGGACGAAGATTTCACATGTGACTGTCCTGTTTCTTATGTAGGCAAAAGATGCGAAACATTTGATCCATGTGGTACCGAACCATGTTTAAATGGGGGTACATGTGTCAAGCAAGAGGACGGCTCTTACTCATGCCTTTGCGATGAAAAATTTATTGGTCTGAAGTGTGAGATAGCAAAGTATCCCTGTGAACTTTCTCCGTGTAAAAATGGCGGAACCTGTCAGCATCAGGAAGAAGGAGTTTATTTGTGCAACTGTTTGACAAATTATGCAGGCAAAGACTGTGAGATGTACGTTCCTTGTGCTAGTGGTCCGTGTAAAAATGATGGTCAGTGTTTTAACCAAGGGGACAGTTACTTTTGTAAATGCTCGTCTAATTATGATGGAGGTAAGCTTAGCAATAAAGATTAAAACAAGTTGAAGCTACCATATTATATATTGGTAGTTTATCAGTACCAAAGACGTTTTTTTATCTCCTATTTGAACCTATTTTTATCTATTTTTTGTCTGAATGAGCGTGATTAACATCATATTTGGGTTCCCAACCACTGAACATACAGAAAGGATATAAGCTAAACAAGGGCTAAATTTTACATTTTAAGTAACCATTAGTTTTTAACTTGAAATTGTTTTTATCAATTTAAAAAAAAAAAAAACAACAACAACAAAATGTACTGTCTTCTATTAACATTTACAGGTCACTGTGAGGTACTGTTGCCATGTGCCGCAAATCCTTGCATCCATGGAGACTGCAGCAACTCTAAAGATGGTTTGACCTTCACCTGTATTTGTAGTGAAGGTCATGAAGGTGACCTTTGTGATAGAGTTATCTCCTCCTGTAATGAGAGTACTTGTATCCATGGTAACTGTGTGAATCAAGCAGAGACCACAATATGTGTGTGTGAAAATGGATATAAAGGTATAAAATCCTATTACATGTACATTGCAGTGTAAAAGGAGAAATGATGGGAGGGTCAGACCTCAAAATTGTAAATAGATAACAGATTTATCTTTACATTTATAAGTATATCAATATTAACTTAATTAGGTTATATTTAAACAAAAATGTTTACTACTGGAATTATTTAAAAGGATGGTATGCTATACATTTCTTTGGAATTGTTACTAAAAAAAGCATGAATGTTGCTATATTTAGAAGAAAAAAATGGCTCACAGTCACTGCCAATTTTATTTTTTTGCTTGAGTAAAGGTAAATTCTGAAAGACCATCAGTGTTCTGCAGATTAATCCTTAATTGTGAGGTAACATTTACGGATCATATGGCAGTAGAAAAATAATTTTTTTTTTCAAATATTGATTTATTTTGTATCTCATAATCTCTCTGTCATAATCACCATTTTGATTATTTAATGGGATAATTAAAAACCATTGTTACTGCCTTTAAAGATAAGTTGGAACAAAAGTAAAGGTCATGGCATAATTTTTACAAATGTGAGTGCAGACAACACTATGGGTCTGTAAATAATATTTGCTTTTATTCAGGATCAAAATGTGATGTCAAGGTCACACCATGTGACTCTCAACCTTGTCAGAATAATGCGGAATGTGAGCCTAGCAGTTTGTCTTTCATTTGTAAATGTCTCCCTGGTTACTATGGCAACTTGTGTCAGGATCAGATAGACGTTTGTTTTTCACAGCCATGTTTCAATGGCGCCACCTGTGAGCGATGTATCGGACCAGACTGTGTCACACCGTTTTCTTGTAAATGCAGGACTGGTTACAAAGGTATTTAAAAAATTTAAGTATGGGAATGTCATGTATGTTAATTATTGTCACGGCTGTGGCTGAGTTGTTTAAGATGCTGGTTTTGAATCACTTACCCTTTACCACAGTGGGTTTAAATCCACTGCAGACTTTGAATTCTTTCATATGAGAAAGGAATTAATGGAAGCATACTGAAGATTGATGATACATTACTCAGGTATTCTCTTGTCCCAGAATGTAGAAGGCTTCTGAGAGTTTTGTTTACCATTAAAGTTAGAAGTTATTGTCAGTGACTTAGAACCTGACTGGCAAAAGAAAATGTAATTTTGTCAATTCTATCTAAATCACTTTGTTATCCGTTCCTGGAACAAACCAGTACTTAGCAATGAGTGTAATGTTTCTTGCTCAAGGAAACAACGTCTTGCCCCTGACAGGGTTTGAACCTGCGCAGTCAGCAATCCTTAGATTACTAGTCTGATGTGTTAACCACACGGCTTCACCGCCACTAAAAAAAATGTTTCTTGATTCAGGATTAAGATGTGAAGAGTCAGTATCAGCCTGTGACAATGGTCCTTGTCTTAACTCTGGTGATTGTATCGTGGACAATACCTTAAAGGGTTATCAGTGTATTTGTCAACCTGGATTTTCAGGTATGGGGTTGAATTTTAGATATAGAACAATTTGTATTGTTAAAAAAGTTAATTTGTCTGACAGGGAAATTATTAATTTTGTTACCAGTTCTGAAAGATATTAAAAGAATTATGTCATACAAAACTGGTATTATTTTCTTGGTTGTTTTTGGGGGGTTTTTTTTATTGAAAACAGGCAAAACTGATCTCTAGGGTAATTTTTTGCACAAGTGTAAATGTTTTCACATGTTCATAATTTATAATGCATTTTAACTGAAAAGGCTGGAACATAAATTGATTTATATTTTTTTTGATACATGTCTATGGTTCTCAACATATTATTATTTTATAAAAAGATATATTGATGTTATTCAGGTCAGAACTGTGAGACTGCCATCAATTTATGTAGTAGCAGACCGTGTCATAACCAAGGCATATGTGTAGCTGACAGTGGCTCAGACAACACATGTATATGTCAGGGAGCTTACACAGGTACAACATTTGATATTAATGAAAAATGGTTATATAGTTCCTACTTTTATCCTAGTAAACAAAGACTAAGCTATAGATGTGTGTAAAGGCGTCAGTGGCTGAGTGGTTAAGGTCCTTGACATTAAACCAATAGCCCCTCATTGCTGTTGGTTTGAATCCCAACAGCGACCTTGGATTCTTTCATGTGAGGAGCTTAGTCCAGCTAGCTTATGGAACATCGGTGGTTCTAATCAGGTGCCCTTTTGTACCTTTAATAATGCAAAAAAACGATACTTTGTTGAAATAAAGCCTGACATATGACTCATTATTAATTCTTACCAAGCTGAACATCATTTATGGACTTGTTTATTTTTGAGTCTGGATAAGACCATTGACCACTTACAGGAAAAAATTTCAAAATTAAGTACCGACTGAAAAATAAACAGTGTAGATAATGACCAGATGGCTGATCTTGGTCGGCACAGGTGGTGTGGGTAGAATCCATTGCTGCCAGCAGGTTAAAGGTTTAAATCTGTATTAAAATTCGATGTTATTCAGGACCTCGTTGTGAAACAAAGATAAAGAATTGCGAGGATCACCAGCCTTGTAAGAACAACGGAACATGTAATAATGACTCTATCTCGGCATATTGTGAATGTCCTCCGCAGTTCTATGGTATATTCTGCGAATATACTAGAGGTTTGTAACATATTTTTGTTCAATGTTACTTACAGGTACTCCACTGAGGTTCACAAAGCCTAAAAATGTTAAATTTGAATTTCTTACGAAGATTACCCGAAGCACTAAATATGCAAAGATAAAAAAGAAATACTCAAACACTTAATATTTAAATTTAAAATGATACATTTGTGTGACTTTAAGCCAAATTGGAGTTAAATTTTTTAGGGCTTTTCATTTTTGGACCACTTTTCACATTGAATTAAAGTAATTTTTCGAGAAAGACTGAGTGAGACAGTGATCGAAAATTTTGCACACAAGATACAGATCTAAACCTACATCAAATGGTACATTAATCTTGAAAAAAAATCTTCCAGTTTGGTTCGATGTAAAAAAACCTCAGTTGAGTCCCTTTTAATCTAGGTAGATTTTATTTTTTAAAGTTTTATTCATTTTCTTGCCTTGGAATATAAGAAAATCAGAATATTCTGAATTCCTCAATGTTTATCATTACACTTTGTGTATATGATCTGTGCCTAACACGTGTTTTAAAATTTCAGTGTTAACAAATCTTAAATTTGTTGATGATGTTCACTAGATTTGTTCTTTAATAAAGTTACCTTAGTGCAGTAATGTGTTAACTCCAATTAAATTATATAAGGAGTTAACCCGTTACTGCACTAAGGTGATGATATTAATTTATATATTGGTGTATAATTCAATTAAATACTGCTTTTATATTTAATTGAATCTCAGAAGAAGAGACATTGTGAATACAATATTTAAATTATTCCTATGATAAAGATGAAAAAACTGTAAAATTTCTTACTTTAAAAATTTAATTTCTTGTATTTTTTGGTTGTGTTTTTAGGAGGTAAGTCTCTGTGATGTGCTGCATGATTTATTTTTTTTTTGTTTTTTTTCACCTAACTAATAATACTAATACTAATTAATGGTTCAAAATTGATATAGATGTCACTGTTAGTTTGCCTGTATATTTGTCTAGCACTTCACTTTATCTTCACATGTTTCACTTGTTCTGACAATGTCTAATTATACTATTCACTATTCATTTGTTTTGACAGTAGTCATTTATTTTAACAATTGTTCTGTTAAAGTCCAATATCAAAATACTAAATTTAACACACAAACTAAATTAATAACACATGGGCTTATGAGTAACAGTAAAAATATCATCCTGAGAAAAATACTGTAATGCCTCGGTAAAAGTTTTTTACGAGGGATGATATTTTACTGTTTCTCACAAACCTATGTGTTATATTTATTTCATTACCCAGAATAAATAGTCAATTTTGACATTTTTTATGCTCCCCGAAAAATTTCGGGGGAGCATATAGTCGGCGCCTTGTCCGTCTGTCCGTCTGTCCGTCCGTCCGTCTGTCCGTCTGTCCGTCCGTTGTCTTGTCCGGAGCATAACTTGAAAACCCTTGGAGATAATTTGTTGAAACTTCATACAGTGGTAGAGGGCATCGAGGGGGAGTGCAGTGTCAAAGAACCATAACTCTATTTTGCCTGGTTTTTGAATTATCTCCCCTTATAGAAAAATCTTGTCCGGGGCATAACTCTAAAACTATAAGAGATATCAACATGAAACTTGTAGGTGAATAGATCTCAATGGGTAGATGTGCAGTGCATAAGAACAATAACTCTTTTCATCCTAATTTTGGAGTTATTGCCCTTTGTTAATTTTAATACTTTGAACTTTGTCCGGAACATAACTTGAAAACCCTTGGAGATAATTTGTTGAAACTTCATACAGTGGTAGAGGGCATCGAGGGGGAGTGCAGTGTCAAAGAACCATAACTCTATTTTGCCCGGTTTTTGAATTATCTCCCCTTATAGAAAAATCTTGTCCGGGGCATAACTCTAAAACTATAAGAGATATCAACATGAAACTTTGTAGGTGAATAGATCTCAATGCATAGATGTGCAGTGCATAAGAACAATAACTCTTTTTGTCCTAATTTTGGAGTTATTGCCCTTTGTTTATTTTAATACTTTGAACTTGAACTTTGTCCGGAACATAACTTGAAAACCCTTGGAGATAATTTGTTGAAACTTCATACAGTGGTAGAGGGCATCGAGGGGGAGTGCAGTGTCAAAGAACCATAACTCTATTTTGCCTGCTTTTTGAATTATCTCCCCTTATAGAAAAATCTTGTCCGGGGCATAACTCTAAAACTGTAAGAGATATCAACATGAAACATTGTAGGTAGATAGATCTCATTGAGTAGAGGTGCAGTGCAAAAGAACCATAACTCTGTTAAGCCTTATTTTTGAATAATCTCCCCTTTTAGAAAAATCTTGTCCAGGACATAGCTGTAAAACTATAAGAGATATCAACATGAAACTTTGTAGGTAGATAAATCTCAATGGGTAGATGTGCAGTGCACAAGAATCATAACTCTACCTTGCCTAATTCTGGAGTTATTGCCCTTTGTTTATTTTTACTTTTTGAATTGTCCAGGACATAACTTGGAAATCATAAGAGATATCATCAAGAAACTTTGTAGGTTGATAGATCACATTGATTAGAAGTGCAGTCTCTGCAAAGAACTGTAACTCTGCCTTGCCTAATTTTGGAATTATTGCACTTTGAACTTTTTCCACGGACATAACTCTGAAACTACAAGAGGTGTACTTTCCTGTGTCCAAAACCTATTCGGGGAGCATCACCCGGCTCAAACCGGGCTCTTGTTTCTGTTGGTTTTTATTTTTTAGATTTTTAATTTGAAAAAAAAAGAAAAAGTAACAGTACAAAATTTTTAGTCACTTACACTTGGATACACTTTAATTAACATTAAGAATAACTCCCATTGACCTATGGGTTATTGATATTTTCTCTAACTGCATGGAAGTGAAGCTTGCATGTTATGGCTCAATGCAAGTTGTTGTTGCTGAATTCACTCACAGAATAGTTTTTTATGAATTTGTTTCAGTTTTATTTTAAGACGATATTAATCTCTCATTTTGTTGATAAATTTTTCTTGTCAGTACAATAACTTCCTTCTTCCATAAATTTGTAATCAAGGTTATATTTCCATATATATTAGGAATAAGTTTTTATATTTTGAATTCATACACATTAATACATATTTCTTTATATTAATATGTACCTTTTTTATGGATATTTCCAAAGCTTTTAAGAATGGTTAAATTCATATGAATTTCAACACACCTGTCATTTATAATTGTCAATATGAGCCGCGCCATGACAAAACCAACATAATGGTTTTGCGACCAGCATGGATCCAGACCAGATCAGGATCCATGCTGTTCGCTATCAGTTTCTCTACCTGTTATAGGGTCTGTAAGCGAACAGCATGGATCATGATCAGACTGCGCGGATGCGCAGGCTGGTCTGGATCCATGCTGGTCGCAAACCCATTATTAGCTCGACTATTCGATAAGAATAAGTAGAGCTATTGCAGTCACCCGAGCGTCGGCGTCGGCGTAACCACTTATGTTAAAGTTTTTGTAATAGTTCAAATATTTTCAAAGTCCATTGACATATGGCTTTGAAACTTTGCACACTTGTTCACCATCATGACCCCAACCTGTAGACAGGAGGAGGTAACTCTATCAAGCATTTTGACAGAATTATGCCCCTTTTTCGACTTAGAATTTACGTTAAAGTTTTTGTAATAGTTCAAATATTTTCAAAGTCCATAGACATATGGCTTTGAAACTTTGCACACTTGTTCAACATCATGACCCCAACCTGTAGACAGCAGGAGGTAACTCTATTAAGCATTTTGACAGAATTATGCCCCTTTTTTGACTTAGAATTTACGTTAAAGTTTTTGTAATAGTTCAAATATTTTCAAAGTCCATTGACATATGGCTTTGAAACTTTGCACACTTGTTCAACATCATGACCCCAACCTGTAAACAGGAGGAGGTAACTCTATCAAGCATTTTGACAGAATTATGCCCCTTTTTCGACTTAGAATTTACGTTAAAGTTTTTGTAATAGTTCAAATATTTTCAAAGTCCATTGACATATGGCTTTGAAACTTTGCACACTTGTTCACCATCATGACCCCAACCTGTCAACAGGAGGAGGTAACTGTATCAGGCATTTTTTTTACTATCAAGCACTAAGAATAGTCGAGCATGCTGTCCTACCGACAGCTCTTGTGTTGGTTTTGTCATGGCGCGGCAAATATATACATGTACTAAATATTTTAAATGTCTACAGAGGATGCCTGTATGACTTCACCATGTAAGAATGGTGGTGAATGCTGGATCAAAGATGGTCAGTCTGTCTGCCAGTGTCAGTCTGGATTCATGGTTTGTATTGTTCTTGTTTTGTTGTTTTTTTATCTTTTTAAGTTTTAACAATATTTATTTAAGCTCAGTTGTTAAAATGATATTCTGTTCACTCTATAGTACATTTCATCTACACCAGTACTCTGAGTCGGGTCTCATGAGGAAGCATGGTAAGGTGATCATCTCAAGAACGTTTGGTTTTACATACATGACTTGTAGATACTGGACAGGTTTTACATTAAGAAATTCAGGCTCAGTTTATTTAAATACTAATAATATTTTACCTTGCTGTAAATTTTTAATTGCAAAAAAAATACTGTAAATGTAATTATATAAATAGATGATTATTCATTAAAAAAAAAAAACAACAGATTAAAGTAATATTTCATATTTTAACTGATATACATACATATTTCAATGATATTTTCAAATTTGATAAAAAAAATTAAAAAAAATAAAAACAAAAAAAACATGATTCAAACTCTTCTCTGGGTCAAAATGGTATTTAGATAATATTAATCACTTTTACTGATAACTCTTAATTATCCCCCGCCGAAAAGGCGGCGGGGGATATAGAAATAGTCTCCGTCCGTCCGACCTTCCGTCCGTCCTTCCGTCCGACATTTTTGTCCGGAGCATATCTCTAAAAGTATTTGAGTAATCAACTTGAAACTTCATAGGTGGATAGACCTCATTCAGGAGGAGTGCAGTGCACAAGAATGATAACTCTACCCTGCATAATTTTTAAGTTATTGCCCTTTGTTATTTTTCAAAATTAATTTTTGTCCAGAGCATAACTCTAAAAGCCTTTGAGATATCAAAATGAAACTTCATAGGTGCATAGATCTCACTCAGGAGGTGTGCAGTGCACAATAATGATAACTCTACCTTTCATAATTTTTGAGTTATTGCCCTTTGTTATTTTTCATACCTAATTTTTCACCCGAGTGGAGCATAACTCAAAAGTGTTTGAGATGTCTACATGAAATGTCATAGGTGGATAGATTTTATTGAGGAGGAATGCTGTGCACAAGAATGATAACTCTTCCCTGTACAATTTTTGAGTTATTGCCCTTTGTTCTTTTTCATACTATTTTGTCCAGAGTTTATCTCAAAAAGTATTTGAGGTATCAACTGAAACTTCATAGGTGGATGGATCTCATTGAGGAGGAGTGCAGTGCACAAGAATGATAACTCTATTTTGCATAATTTTTGAGTTATTGCCCTTTTTTTATTTTTCAAAATTAATTTTTGTCCAGAGCATAACTCAAAAGGCCTTTGAGATATCATTATGAAACTTCATAGGTGCATAGATCTAATTCAGGAGGTGTGCAGTGCACAAGAATGATAACTCTACCTTTTATAATTTTTGAGTTATTGCCCTTTGTTATTTTTCATACTTAATTTTTCAATTCAATTTTTTTCTCAAAAAGTATTTGAGGTATCAACTTGAAACTTCATAGGTGGATAGATTTTACTGAGGAGGGATGCAGCACACAATAAATATAACCTACCCTGCATTATTTTTCAGTAATTGCCCTTTGTTATATTCAGCCATCAGTATTCACATAGGTTTCAAATCTGTAATCACTATAGCCATCAGTTTTCATTACCAAAAGACCTCTTAAAATGGAATTATTCTGCTCTACTACATATACATTCTTCCAACGAGCAAACACATTCGGCGGGGGATGGCCATGTTGACATGGCTCTTGTTACCTTTGTGTTACAGGGTGATTATTGTGAAAATGCCGAGGATTATGATTGTACTGTTTCACCATGTTTAAATGGGGGATACTGTCAGCTAGGAACTTGTCTTTGTCAAGCTGGATACGTCGGCAAATCTTGCCAGGAAGAAGATCCTTGCTCTGGTAAGTTGTAGTAAAAATAATAATTTGAATTCCTATTTTTTCAGTATTTTTTTTTTTTTGTCTAAAACATAATCTGCTGAAACAACAAATAAGGTATGTGAATTTAACCTTTCTTTGGTATATGTATGTCATTTACATCTTATTCATTACTGATACATGTTTAATGGAAGTTTATATCAAATTACCATTAATCTAGAATTCTTTTTATCACAGGATATTTTATAGCCAAAAATGTAAAAAAAAAGAAGAAAAAAGGCAAAATCCTGCGTTATGTACTATAATTTAAGTGACGTCATCAATGATTTAAATTATGTTGATGATGTCATAATGATTTATTTCAAATTTATTTCATTTAAAGAAGAAGGAAATGGCTATATTACAGTGTTAACAGTGAATTTTCCCCATTATATAACAGCCGAATAAAGGCTGTTTCTCTAGACCAAAATAGGTATATTTTCACCTAAAAATGCTTTATTTTCCCTGAAATGCCCTGTGCACATTCATCAACAGAACCATGACTTAACAGCAGCTGACTTATATAATGCATGTTAAATTGAATTGAAATTAAAATTTTCTATAAAATGTATGGGCAAATTACATTTTCAGTTTTTGGAATTTTATTTCAGGTTTTCCTTCTTTCCCCTTCAGAAAGCCACAGGTTGTTTTGAAAATTGAAAATGATATTCTCTGTAACAAGAGAGTCTTGTTATAAAAAGAAATCTTATGTAGACATATATGAGCTGTGTCACGACAAAACCAACATAATGGGTTTGCGACCAGCTTGGATCCAGACCAACCTGCGCATCCGCGCAGTCTGATCAGGATCCATGCTGTTCGTTTACAGACCCTATAACAAGTAAAGAAACTGATAGCAAAAAGTATGGATCCTGATCAGACTGCGCGGATGCGCAGGCTGGTCTGGATCCATGCTGGTCGCAAACCCATTACGTTGGTTTTGTCGTGACACGGCTCATTTATCTTTAAGTATTATCAATTTGTTTCAGCTCATCCGTGCCGGAACAATGGAACTTGTACAAGGTTTTCTCAGGGTGATAGGGGCTATGTGTGTGCGTGTAAACCACCATATAGAGGCACACATTGTGAAGTGAGCTATGATGCTTGTGCCTCGAGGGTCCCTCCGTGTCTAAATGGAGGGCAGTGTTATATAAAGCCGGAGGATATATATAGTCCACTTTGTACATGTCTGGAAGGTATAATTTTACTATCTAGACCTTTTGAGGTTTTTAAGCTGATTTTAATAGTTTGCTTTTTTGTATATGATCTATATGTGTTTTATATGTATAATTGATAGATGGTATAAAATACTATCTCAAAATTTATGTGATTACAATTTGTAGCTTCATATCTCATTAATCAATGATCACAGAAAGTATATTCACTTAAGTCTTCTTATAAAATGTCTTTGGGAGTATAATAGTCAGTAACTATTCAAGACCTGTAATTAGTTAAAATTGTTCCGCATTGAGATTTTCAAAAATTTGAAGTAAAGGTTTTGACATCAAGATTCATTCACTAAATATATTAACTTGAAACAACAAATCCCTTTAAGGTCATAATTACATAATACTCACTCACTGGGTCCAAGACCTATAACTCCAGCATTTATTGTCACTGAGTTATCCCTCCTTGGGACCTTTTGAAAAATTCCTGCAATATTCAGGCTGTGATTATTCTATGAAGCGCCCCTTGTGGCTGACGGGTTGCCTTTACAGGTAGAGGCATCAGAATAGCAGCCTCCGTAAAAGGCGATTAAATGGGTTCAATCTATTGGCTCTTGCAGATGCAGTGGTTTTGACCCTTGGTGTTGATTAAAGTTTGTTTGTTAGCCAATATTGCCTTTCCAGTTTTTGTGCCATGTGACCTACACTGTGTTGGTGCACATTGGAACCAAACAAACAAACAAAAACCAAACAAACAAATTTTATCAAGCATTTAGATCAAGCAGTCAAGTTGTTACCTTAGTACAGTAACTGATTAACTCCTATTGGATTATATAAGAAGTTTACCTGTTACTGCAATAAGGTGGAAACATTATCTGTTTATGTGGCACCTCTTGTTTAGATATGTATTATGTGTTATTATGCAGTCATGTCATATTTATATTTCAGGATTCACAGGCAGTCGTTGTGAAACCATTGTTGTAGAATAAACAAATCTAACTGTTTGATATGAAGCAATAACATTTGTTGAAGCCTATATACATGAAGAAGTGCAATGGTGTATGATAATGTTTCACTTATATACAGTACATACAGAATGATGTGCAATAAACATTTTAGTATTTTACCTGTAGCCGAGATAGTGACAGAGCTATCTTACTCTACAATAGTCATGCCAGCATGTAAATTTGTTTCTTAACATTGAAATCCCTTAATTTGAAAGTGGACAATTCCAGGGTCAAATTATGATAAGTTTGTTATTTAAAGGTAGAATGTGAGCAGTGTGATGTATGAAATAGTTGGTTTTGGGATAGTAGAGTTTACATATATTTTCTAGTCAAAGTACATTTGTAAAATGTACATAAAAGAATTCCTATACATATTCTAGTCATGTCAACTATATACAAAGTTAATTGTTCATTTTGACATTTATATTTCATATCAAGTAATTCTAATATGAAAGTTATGATCTGTTTTTATCAGTATAGAGTTCCTTTATTTTTGTTATTTTATTATATTCACATAGGTGGCAATATGTATCACATTATAATACTGCATGTTTGTAATATAACTTATCATTGGATAATCGTAACATTTATATAGTTTTATATACACAATGTTACTGTTTTTTACTGCTGTCAATTTATGAACAAATCTCACTTTTTTTTTTAAATAATGGAATTTTGCTGTTATATAAATTTTTTATAAATATTTCTGATAGGTTATATGATCATATATAAATGTTTGTTTGCAATATAACCCTATAACCCTGGTGTATATTACAAGATAAGGATTGAAAAATCCAGTGGTCTGCTTGTTCCAGCAGTTTGATGGTTAAAATTAACAGATGCTTTTAAATTCAAAGTCAGACATTGTTGTAGGAATTCAGCAGGACATGACAACATGCAAGACATTTTATCAAATGAGAGACAGTATGCTGTCAGAAAACTCATTTTGTGCTGTTGTATTTTGAAATTTATTTTTTATTATATATAAAGTAACAAAATTATAATCATTATGACAATGTATTGTATGACATTATTATGCCCCCATTTCGAAGAAAAGGGGGTATATTGCTTTGCACTTGTCGGTCCGTCGGTCCGTAGACCAAATGGTTTCCGAGTGATAACTAAAGAACCCTTAGGCCTAGGAACTTCAAACTTGGTATGGTGATTGGTCATGACCAGTAGATGACCCCTATTGATTTTGGGGTCAAGGGGTCAAAGGTTAAGGTCACATTGACCTTGTAAGCAAAAACGGTTTCCGGTCAATAACTAAAGAACCTTAAGGCCTAGGAACTTCAAACTTGATATGGTGATTGGTCATGATCAGTAGATGATCCCTATTGATTTTGGGGTCAAGGGGTCAAAGGTCAAGGTCACATTGACCTTGTAAGCAAAAACGGTTTCCGATCAATAACTAAAGAACCTTAAGGCCTAGGAATTTCAAACTTGATATGGTGATTGGTCATGATCAGTAGATGATCCCTATTGATTTTGGGGTCAAGGGGTCAAAGGTCAAGGTCACATTGACCTTGTAAGCAAAAACAGTTTCCGATCAATAACTAAAGAACTTTAAGGCCTAGGAACTTCAAACTTGGTATGGTGATTGGTCATGATCAGTAGATGACCCCTATTGATTTTAGGGTCAAGGGGTCAAAGGTCAAGGTCACATTGAACTTTTGGGTAAAAACGGTTTCTGATCAATAACAAAAGAACCCTTAAGCCTAGGAACTTCAAACTTGGTATGGTGATTGGTCATGACCAGCAGATGACCCCTATTGATTTTTGGGTAAAGGGGTCAAAAGGTCAAGGTCACATTGACCTTGTAGGTAAAAACGATTTCCGATCAATAACGAAAGAACCCTTAGGCCTAGGAACTTCAAACTTGGTATGGTGATTGGTCATGACCAGCAGATGACCCCTATTGATTTTGGGGTTAAGGGGTCAAAGGTCAAGGTCAAATTGACTTTGTAAGCAAAAATGGTTTCCGATCAATAGCGAAAGAACCCTTAGGCCTAGGGACTTCAAACTTGGTATGGTGATTGGTCATGATCAGTAGATGACCCCGATTGATTTTGGGGTCAAGGGGTCAAAGGTCAAGGTCACATTGACCTCTTAGGTAAAAACGGTTTCCGATCAATAACGAAAGAACCCTTAGGCCTAGGGACTTCAAACTTGATATGGTGATTGGTCATGATCAGTAGATGACCCCTATTGATTTTGGGGTCAAGGGGTCAAAGGTCAAGGTCACATTGACCTCTTAGGTAAAAACGGTTTCCGATCAGTAACTTAAGAACCCTTAGGCCTAGGAACTTCAAACTTGGTATGATTATTGGTCATGACCAGTAGATGACCCCTATTGATATTGGGGTTAAGGGGTCAAAGGGCAAGGTCACTTTGACCTTGTAGGTAAAAATGCTTTCAAATCAATAACTTAAGAACCCTTTGGCCTAGGAACTTCAAACATGGTATGGTGATTGGTCATGACCAGCAGATGACCTATTGATTTTGGGGTCAAGGGGTCAAAGGTCAAGGTCACATTGACCTTGTATGTTAAAACGGTTTCCGATCAATTAACTAAAAACGCTTAGGCCTAGGAACTTCAAACTTTGTATGATGATTGGTCGTGACATGCAGATGACCCCTATTGAGTTTTGGGTCAAGGGGTCAAAGGTTAAGGTCATGACCAGTAGATACTTGATAACCCTTATTAATTGTTTGATCACTGGGTCAGAAGTCATAATAACCTTATCACATGACTAATTGGCTGCTGATAGGGGGCATACATGTTTTACAAACATATCTTGTTTTGAATGGTTCTATGATAGAAAGATACATTATAAAAATAACATTATATGTAAATTGTCATTTCCATATCCAATGAGTAATGTATATGATTAACTAAATATTGATATGTAAAATTTAAACCTTTCTCATATATTGAACTACAATTCAACCTCTGCATAGCAATATCCTTCTAAAAGACATTGATTTTAGTTGTTGCTTAGAGACACTGCTATATAGAGGTCTTGCTATATAGAGGTTAAATCTATTGTGGTATCTTACTTTGGGAAAATATTTATATTGTTGTTGCAATGAGGCTTTTGCTCTACAGGGGGTCATTCTGCAGGGGTTAAACTAATTTCATGTATACATTTTGATATCATCATATCATAATCTTACACTGCTGAAACAAAGCTCGTCTTCTGAACCCATTGATCAATGGTGTAAGACCTAATGTGGTCTTAACCATATTCTGTATATAATCATCATATAACCTGGTTACTTCCAGGAATTTGGCTTGAATGGTGCAAGACTTCATGTGGTCATGAACATATTCTATATATAGCCTACGTATTGGTTAGTTCCAGAAATTGGACCTGAGTGGAGCAAGACTTAATGTGGTCATGCACATATTCTATATATAGCCTACGTATTGGTTAGTTCCAGAAATTGGACCTGAGTGGAGCAAGACTTAATGTGGTCATGCACATATTCTATATATAGCCTACGTATTGGTTAGTTCCAGAAATTGGACCTGAGTGGTGTAAGATTTAATGTGGTCATGCACATATTCTATATATAGCCTACGTATTGGTTAGTTCCAGAAATTGGACCTGAGTGGAGCAAGACTTAATGTGGTCATGCACATATTCTATATATAGCCTACGTATTGGTTAGTTCCAGAAATTGGACCTGAGTGGTGTAAGATTTAATGTGGTCATGCACATATTCTATATATAGCCTACGTATTGGTTAGTTCCAGAATTTGGACCTGAGTGGTGTAAGATTTAATGTAGTCATGAAGATATTCTATATATAGCCTAAGTATTGGTTAGTTCCAGAAATTGGACCTGAGTGGTGTAAGATTTAATGTAGTCATGAAGATATTCTATATATAGCCTACGTATTGGTTAGTTCCAGAATTTGGACCTGAGTGGTGTAAGATTTAATGTAGTCATGAAGATATTCTATATATAGCCTAAGTATTGGTTAGTTCCAGAAATTGGACCTGAGTGGTGTAAGATTTAATGTAGTCATGAAGATATTCTATATATAGCCTAAGTATTGGTTAGTTCCAGAAATTGGACCTGAGTGGTGTAAGATTTAATGTAGTCATGAAGATATTCTATATATAGCCTAAGTATTGGTTAGTTCCAGAAATTGGACCTGAGTGGTGTAAGATTTAATGTAGTCATGAAGATATTCTATATATAGCCTCAGTATTGGTTAGTTCCAGGAATGGGACTTGATTGGTGCACAACTTAATGTGGTCATGAACATTAATTTATATATAGCCTAAGTATTGGTTAGTTCCAGGAATGGGACTTGATTGGTGCACGACTTAATGTGGTCATGAACATTAATTTATATATAGCCTAAGTATTGGTTAGTTCCAGGAATGGGACTTGATTGGTGCACGACTTAATGTGGTCATGAACATTAATTTATATATAGCCTAAGTATTGGTTAGTTCCAGGAATGGGACTTGATTGGTGCAAGACTTAATGTGGTCATGAACATTATATATAGCCTCAGTATTTATTGGTTTAAGTTTCAGAAATTGGACTCGAGTGGTTCAAATAAGTTTTAGAATCTATTTTTGTCTCATTCAGTTTAAAGCGAATTGCTTCATAATGTAAAGTATGCAAAACCATAAGTAATTAAGTTTGCAGTATTCAGTACCACACATGTCAAGGAACTACCAATGAGTTGAGGTATGGCTGAGTGATTAACACAGACTAGTAATCTAAAGAATCTAAGGTTTGAACCCTGTCAGGGGCAAGCAGTTGTTTCCTGAGCAAGAAACTTTACATTTATTGCTTTGTACTGGTTGGTTTCAGAAACGAATTCGGGGGTGTTTCAATAAGCTTAGAGCTTCCAACATAATCAAACTAAAATAAATTCTTATGAACTAAACTTTGAAAAAATTAATTATGGAACTTGTTGGTGAGTGTTAAATAGTCATCATTCTCTATCTGATATTG